ATATGATAATGAGAGTTAATTAGCTATGAACACTTGACCTTTTAGTGATAGAATAAATCTTGTATTCATTTCTTGTTCTTTTAAGAAAATATAAAATTGTGAGGGCCAAATGGAATTTCTCACCATATCCAGTTGATATCAATAGCTGGAAGGACATTATACTCTCTACAGATAACATTTTCTTCTTCAACCTCTTTTGTTTACCAGTTTCAGTAATGACTTTTAGGTAAATAGAAAGGTAATTGGCAAAGAACAGCTTCTAAACTTTTGGGTTTTCAACTGCTCTGAACTAGGTTAGGAGCCTTTCTCTTCACCCGCATTGTAAAGGCCGGAAGGGATCGTCGATTTGACAAAACCCGAGCTAATCCGTCCCGGTTCTTCTATGCTTGGACCATTCAAGGTGGGTGCTTGCCTGACTGTGGGAAGACGTCTGTTCTAAACATCGTTCATTGGATGTGGCTGTCAGTAAATTGGCTTGGGGTACAGAAATACAATAAGGGTGCCTGTATAGACTTGAGGTTGATTTTTTGTGTTTGTGATGTCTGTTGATCTTCAGGCTTGGTGAATAATGTACTAGTCATTTTGTTGTTCTTTTATACCCCTTTAGAGAATGTATACCCATTGACTCAGTGTAATTTTATCCTGTATATGTATCTGTAGAGTATCTCTAAAAGTGATAATTAGTATATTGCATTATTTACAAGATGCATGATATTCCATAAACCAATTGAATACAAATTTGATTTACTAATTCTAGTGAATGATTTTTATGATGTGAAAGTCCAACATTCTTTAACATAATATAGTATATAGATCAGTAAATGAGAATCCAGTATTTAGTGGCACAATATCAATCGTAGTTACTTGCTAATGTATAGTAACATTCGTGCTATGTAGTGAGGTTCTTGCCAGTATTGAAATCTTAGATTTTTCAACTTAAATAATATGTACCTAATCCCATCACTCCATTCTCAAAACCAGGGGTATGGGTCATTGTCACAATCCTGCCAAGCCTGTTAGCCGTGCTGTCACCCCGCCAGCGCCCCCTTAGCACAAGAGACTATGTGGGCTGGGGCATCTGGCTGGCAGGCTTCCTCATTGAAGTTGTGGCTGACTACCAGAAGACAGTCTGGAGAAACAATCCAGCCAATAAGGTATGTTTGAGTATGTCCATTTCTTTAGCATTTGTGATCCTTAGGGAAAAAAAGCTATTTTAAAATAAGGTATTATATGTGCATATAGATGTGCAGTTTGTTTTGAAATTTCTTCACTGTTATTATAAAAGATATTTGATTTTAAAGTTGGTGTCCTCTTTCTTTATAAATGCACGTGCATATCTTGATCCATTATATTTTTTGCACTCGAGGAATTACTTGAATTCCTTTTCCAACACACAATCCATGTACATTTCTGTGTCATTCTTGAAATGGCATTTAATTTTCTTATCATGAATTACTGACATAACCCATGTCCATCCTCAGGACAAGTTCATCAACACTGGTCTCTGGTCACTGTCCCGCCATCCCAACTATTTTGGAGAGATCATGCTCTGGTTTGGCCTTTATGTCAGTGCCTCATCTACCTTCTCAGGCTGGGAATACCTCACAAGTGAGTTCATCATCAATGTGAAAATTGCTTGTGTATTTTCTATTTAATTTTATTCACATATTTCCTTGTGAGCACACATGTATGTCAGCAGTTTTGCTATGTGTCTGTTGTATCCTCATATTGATCATTTTCTGTCTTGTGCTCTGTATGCAACTACATTGTGTTTTTTCTCCATTAGTCTTGTGCCCACTGATGGACTACCTGCTCATCACCCGTGTCTCTGGGATCCCCATGCTAGAGAGCTATGCAATGAAGAAGTGGGGCACCTCACCTCAGTACAGGGCATACTACAAGAACACCCCTGAGCTTATTCCCTTTTTCAGATAGGCTCCACTGTCTACTTTTTGTTTTGACCTCTTCTGGTTGCTTTCCAAAATGGATTCCATTTTATGATTTAATATGTATTGAAAGTAAGTGATGTACAGCAGTTTATACTCAGGAAGTAGGAGGTATAAGAATGAATTAAAAGCAGGAAAAAATGAATTCCGTGTTTTTTTTTCCTTTGTGCTTACTTTAACTGAAAAAAAAACATTATTTTTCTTTTCTTTTTTTTTCATAGGTTTAGATCTACACATTTACAGGTATTCTTAACCCAATGCCGCCAGGGAAAATGAACAAAAATTGGGGAAAATGCTGTGCCTATTTTCTATGTTTTTTGTGAAATGTCTGCCGATAGATGGCTCTGCTAGAGCCTGATTTGAAGTGACGGGAAAAACGTATTTTTCACTAGTGCTATGAAAATCGATGTTGTTATTTTTATCATAAACATTATAATCTTTTTAATGTTTTTTAACATTAGTAACAGCAAGATAAGATAACGTAAAATATTTCGTAAATCAAAGAAAAGGGTAAACGGGCGAGACAGGCAGTACTTGTAACTACCTCATTGGTGATTTAGAACATGTGTTTCCATCTATGTGTAAAAACAATCAAACAAGTAACTCACAGTGGGCATAGCACGTACATACACGTGTTACCCGTTGACATTGGGTTAATGTAAACAAAACTTTAAAACAATGGGAAAAAGGTAATGGAGACCTGACTTTCAACATACACACAAATCAACTTACAAACAGCCTCTCGATCCCCATTACGTTCTTAAGTTGGGGACTTACTGTATATATATATATATATATATATATATATATATATATATATATATATATATATATATATATATGTATGTATGAGACAAATAAGGTGTACACAAATATTCATGCACAGTATCAAGACTCCTTGCTTTCTCTTTGCTGTGCTACTAGCTCTTTTTTGCAGATGCATTTTTAGTTTTGCCATTTTCTGAGGTCTATACTTGTCGTTATGCTGTATCAAGATAGTACTGGACTGTTTACCTTCAGGAGACTCCATAATATCTCTCCAGATAGTTAGTTTACACTCTGTATAATAACAGTAACCAAAATGAACACCTATTTGTGTTATTTTTTCATATTTTTGTATTATTCAATTTTCTGTAAAATACTATGTGCTGCAAGTAATGTCAGGCAGGAATAGGTTTCTGCACATGGATGTTCTCTATTGGGCTGGAGCTCTGCCAGACATAGCTCAATCTACCCTTTTTTACAAGTGGAAATAATGCAGGAGCTAAAGGCCCACTGAGTCAATCTCCCTCCAAAAGAATTATGCACTCATGGTGAGATGCCACTGGCCACTCTGTAACACTATCCCATGGCAAAATTTTTCCAAGACATTCCTGTCTGCTGCCCTTCAGCCAAATTTTTTCCAGATGAGACATCCCTGTCACCTTGATCCAACAGGGTTAATATGGAAGTAGTTCCACATATCAGTTAATATTGGATGTTTTTACAATTCAGTAGATTGAAATCATACATAACTTGATCCTTTAAAATAACCTATGGAGGAGCACAATAACATTGGTACTCTGAATTTAGTGGTGCAAAGAATTGAATTACCCTATATGTCTGGGTGAATAACATAAGCCCCTGAATATATTTTGTGATTCTGTAGTGTTGTTGATTTACAGCTCAATCTCTTGTTAATTTAACTTTATCATAGGATCATCACAAACTAATTTACCAAAACCAGGAACTGAAAAGAACTTGTAGATAATTGGCTCAAACAACGAAAGAAGGAACACATGAATATTCCAGAAGCCTTTTTGCAATATTGGTTCTTTGGGGCAAATTGTACCATGACCTCACTCCCATCTTCCCATCTAACTTCATTTATGAGACACATAACCAGTCACTACCACAAACATCCACCAACCATCAGTTATGCTACAGACAGAGTAAGAATGAGTATCCTGTGGCAGCTTTACCTAGTGACTTATAAAAATACTAAATGACAATGATTTCAGTAGTAGTAGTAACTACAGAGGAGGAAGCATGGATCAGTAGTCAAGTGATGCTTTTGATGATTGCAAGATTCAGAGTTTACTCAAACAGTCCCTCTCACCAGAGTCAGTAATTGAGTACTAGCATGCTGGCATCACCATGCTGGGGCTAAAGTTGTGGCAGAAAGTAACAGGACACCACACTATCCCAAGGCTTAGTACGCACATTCCTCTGGACACATCCTCTACATCCTCAAGCACATGGGGCCAACTTTGTTGTCAGTAATAGCTATAATGATGATGGTAATCGTAATGAAAACAATTATAAAATAGCACCAGGTTCTTCTTTGATTACAACTGAGTGCTGCTACTACCCCCTTCAATTCCTACTGTCCACACCTCTTCAGTAGTCTAATAGCCCAGCCAATTGGGATCAACTTTGTGATCCCCTCTGACAACACTTCTCTTCCAGCATTGCCTTCAAAAACAAGTGGGCAAAGTTTCCTTTTGCAGCTGCTCTGAACGCTCACGCCTTGTCACAGTTGCATCCAAGTCCCAAGCTTATGCATTATCTACCCTGACTGACTTCACTGTCAAACCCATCTATGCCCAGCCTTAACCCTCCCTCATTACTTGTACTGGAACTATCTCAATCTCCCAGCAGACTGTCAGTAACAAGGACTGATTAGACAGCAGAGAAGACTTACCCACTTGCTTCATTGACTAGGATGCAGTACACCATTACCCCTAGAAGCTGTTGTATGTCCTCCACCAATACTGCCAATATTACTATCCATAGACATGACCTCCCCCATGATACTAATATTGACAGAGAGCCCCAATCTCAGAAATGTTGGCATCTCTGCCACCCTGCCAAACACTGCTGCTCAACACCTCTGTGCCCTCCATGTGTCCAACTTCTCCATCCATCAAACTGCTCTGCTCAATATATGCATGTGTGCTAAATGATCTTTGATGTCTATCACATTTATTTTGCTTTGTAACCATTAACCATGCAACATAAAATTTAAAAAAAAAATAGTATCACACTAAAGCATCAGATGGGAAACACACTCCT